ACTTTGCATGCGAATGTCTGTATCAGTATATGTGTGTGTGTCTGTATGTCTGTGTGTATGTGTGTGTGTCTGTATGGCTGTATTTATGTCTGTGTGTGTGTCTGTATATCTGTGTGTGTGTATGTACGTCTTTTTGTATGTGTGTGTGTCTGTATATCTGTGTGTGTGTCTGTATGTGTATGTCTGTAAGTCTCTGTGTGTGTGTGTGTGTCTGTATGTATGTATGTATCTCTCTGCAGGTGTGTCTGTGTATTAGCATGTGTGTCCATGTATGTATCTGTATGTGTTATACAAATGGAGGAGGGGGGATTGCATGGGGGGGCCCAGGGCACTTTTTGCATCGGGGTCCTGTGGTTTCTAGTTACGCCTCTGCTCCCTCTGAAATATTTCCTGTTATAGTATGCTTGGATACTAGTAACAAACAATTCAAAATAAAGTACTGTGCAGAAAAAATAAAATAAAATAATGTTTTTTACAAAACCAAGTAGAACTGACTAATGTTATTCCATATTTTTTTGTTTTTGTTTGATGTACTCTGCCACCTTTGGGCAAACAATATAAAAACCAAGGTTAAATATTTGCTGACTTCATACCACACTGACTTCAGCAAAAGGAAAAAGAAAAACAAGATAATACCATATAATATTTTGCAAAGACCCCTGATGGTGAGTGACTTCAACGCTCAATTGGCATAGAGTTGCAACATAGGCAATTGATGTATACTTACCTAATGCTGTCCCCTGCATCTTCAAGCTTCAGCTCCTGGTGCTTCATTTTCCACGAGCTATCCTTTTGTGCATGAGCAAGAGTACAACACTGATGTCTATAGAGGATCCTGCAAGACTGTGAACCTTCATAGAACCTTCATAAATCACGTCTTATGATCAGTGAGACAATGCCTTATTCCCACAGAAACCACTGTGGTGAGTGACAAAAAGTGACAGCAGTAGTTCTGTCATTTGTTAAGTTTATAACATATTTATGCACTTTATTTATATACATTTGAATTTTTAATATTTTTTGATTATATTTTTATTGTATGATAATTGATATTGGATTAAGGGTATATGAGTATGTCACTTTGTATGATATTCTTGACTATATTTTAATGTATTGATCCAATACCAATGTTCTGTCTTAACTATTCATGATTTTTACTTTGAAGTTCTTATTTCTTTGGTGCTCACTGTTTGTCTATCTACAGTTCAACTGGAGAATTTGTATTTTTTTATGTATTTTACAGTTTATTTGTGATTTTGTTTAGCATATGTATATTGGCTGCCTGTGTCTCCTCCCTTTGTCTGCCTAGTGGAAGCTGGGTTCGATAATAATCTGCTCTATTAGTTGGGTGCATCTCCCTTGCTGGCATTAGAGACACAACGATTGCACCTTCACTTTGGGCATGTTAACTGCCAGGAAAGGACCCTGCTGCAAAAATTGTTTCATTTTTTTTTATAGCATAAAGTATCACTGTTGCTTGGAACATGAAAAGTGCTGCCCTGTATTGTCCCAATTTCAAAGCAGCATTTCTCAGGTTTTCATTGATACACAATAGTATTTATTCATTATTTTTCACTTTATTTATATTATTTTATTATTCTATTAGTTTAATTAAAATATTATTGATTTGTCCACAATATATATTGTTTATAGTCTATAAAGACCAGCTGTAGATGTGTTTCTGATGGATGGTAAGTACCAAATCATTTCTTGCATATTAAGCCAGAATTTAATTAGAGTTAACTAATTAATTACTGATTATTTAATTGGTTGATTGTGATTTTGCACTTTCGCTATGTTTTTTCTTGTTTGTAAGCCTTGGTGTGAAGTATAGCATAAAAAATATATATCCCAAGATGGGGATTGTACCGTCTACAGTAATACAGCACTCTATTCTACCTTACTTTTAAGGACATATTGCACTATTATTGTTCCTTTTTTTGTCTCTTTTTGAGAAACTAGATACTGTATTATGGATAAAGATCCCATAGGTTTGTTGTATGAATATATGTTTTATTTGTGACTCCACATATGGGCTACCTTGTATTTTAGGAGTGGTCATCTATTACTTTTTTTTTTTGTATCTTTATTTTCACAGGGTTTTGGAAACCCTTGTAAGATCGAATGCTGTCTTCCACTATACGTATATAGCGAGCACCTCAATTTTGTTTTTTGTTTTTTTTGTGTGACGTAGCTTGACAAAGACTCCATTGGGAGTCAAAACATTGCAGTGTTCCACTTGTTCTAATAAACATGACTGAAGACATTGGAGTGCCTGGACCTTTTTCCTATTACTGGTATTTGTCAAGTTTTGTCAGGTTCAGGCTTTATTATAAGACATACAAGTCCATACTTTATTTTGTTTGTATCTTGATTCTTGATTGTATCTTTATGATATGCTCAAAAAAACATTTTGATGACAGAGCCTCTTTAAGTCAAAATTATTAACACAACAACACACAAGGTTAAGCCCGATCATACAAACATGTAGGAATAACAAATTCAAAGAGCTAAGGGAATTGTTAAAGAATCACATACACACGACTAAAGAATCAGTAAAAAAAAAAAAGGTTAAATACGAACACAATTAGTCAGAGGATAAAACACACACATCACATATACAGTAGTCTCATACAAAAAGGATATAACACATACGTGCACATTTAAAAGGTGGATTGGGAGGTGATTTTGAGGGTGACGCTTTTTCCCCATTACTCAAGTTTACCTTTCTCTGAGTCTTCCTCTCTTGCTGGTGCAAGAATTTTTGCCACCCTAGACAAAAGAAAAATGTGCCCCCCTCGTCCCCATGTGACATCATAATACCCCATCCATATGATCTGCCATATGAATGAATGCCAGTGCTGCACAAAGTGTGTGTTTATGTCATGAACTGAGCCTTGTCACGTGCTCTTGGAGGGGCCTGCTGGCCAGCCTCTTACCAAAAGACTATGGGCCCTTTAAAAACCTATGTGAACAGACTTGGTTCATGGGATTTTATATTTAGTGCGGGATCCGAACAGCCGCACGAATTGCAGACCACCCTGGAGCTTGTTAAGCCTAAATACTACTTTGTAGCAATTTCCACTGCAGTGTTCTAAGAGTTTGTCTGGGTGGCCGCAAATGACCATGAGGTGGCGGCCATCTTGTTCGCATGAGGAAGCAGTGTTTGGACATGAATCTCATGGAACTGAAAACGGACACAGAAACTCCCGAACACCGCTGGACTTCAAGCATCGCCTGCAGTCGGTTCCACAACACTTGGAAAAGCGCTGTTTGGTGGAAACGTTCCCATGAAAAAGGATATCAAGCTACTGGGTAAGACTATTGACTCTGTTTGGTAGTTTGTTCATTATTAAACTACCGAACTAGACCAACCGCAAGCCCTGTTTTTGGCATAGGACCATGTGCACGGCCGGTCAAAAATAAGACTTCCAGGAAATTCCTGAACCCCTGAACTGATCTGGGTGATTTTTGAATATGTTGGTCACCCAGATCGGGGCTATCAGAAGATGTAAGTTTTGGGGCAGTTTTGTGTGTTGTAAGGTATTTTTGGGGGGTTTGTAAAAATGTGTGATAATTGGATTAGATTAGTACAGTTCCTGATCCAATTATCTCCCAGGCACAGAGGAGAGATTCTCTGATTATTTTTTTATGGGAGTGTCCTGGACCTGGGAGCAAATGTGATTGTGTATTTTTTTCTACTGTGGTTTACTCTCAGGTCCAGGGGGGAGTTCCCCTTGATGGGGAATGTCATAAAAGGCCAGTTGTGGCTACCATCAAAAAGAGATTCGTTTAACCCTTCTTGAAGTTAAGGCTCATATTTGGGGGATTGGAGAGCTATAGTCACACTCTGGGGATTGCTATAATCACTATACTCCCTTGGATCATATATGAGCAGCCTGCTTTGCTCTCTGGACTAGGAGAAGACTACCCACTAGAAGCGGGATCCTGGTCTTGGGTCCAGTGTGGGTGGAGGACAGCGAGACCCCAACCACGCTGCGGCGGTTCGTGGGGTTTACGGTGGTTATGGTGTTCCAGTGCAGTGACTATGGTACTCGCAAGTACAAGGAAGCAGCGTTAGACAGAGGTATCCGGTCTGGGTTCCAAGCGGTCCGTCACATCTGTCATAAGTAAAAGGTCCTGTTTAGTATCTGTAGTAATCCATCATTTGGAACTCCATGTGCTTGCTGGATATAGAGAAAATCATCAATGAAGTAGAGAGAGGTCCGGTGCTGTTCTGAGCACAATGTCCTGAGCTGCGCACTCGGGACTAGCCTGTCCCTTCAAAGGCCCTGGTTCTGTTTTTTTATTTTTTTCCTTCTTTGGCATAGTTTGAATGCCTATTTTTGTACATATTCTTTTGTGTGGGAATTAAAGTACCATTAGCACGATTAATGAACCTATATTGGGTGGATCCACCAGATCTTATAGTAACTATTGTTATTAATTAATTGACTTTGGTTCAATTGAATTAATGGATATATATATATATGTGCATTGACAAAATTTATTATTTTGTGGATATCTTCACCTAAATGATGTCCTGTCTATACTATATCTGTGCTTGATACCTATCTTTTGCCCCTTTCTGTGCAATAACAACATACCAAATTATCTATTTTTTGCATTATACATTTTAAGTGCAGTAATATTTTGATTATTTTTATGTATATGCTATATATTGGAGGGAGACCTTGATACCTGCACCATTTGGACAGTTAAGTGCCAACACCATTGTTATCCCGTGTCATTCAATATTTTATTACTAGAAATTACACTCTGGAGCAGTACTTGCAACATTTTAATGACTGCAGCTGAACGAGCTGCTACCACTAATCACAGGCAGAACTAGGATTTGTGATCTGTGCTGTCATTAACCTTTATTCATTAACCTAAAATTTTATAGTTGGGTCTGAAGTCTGAGTAGCATGGACGTCTAAAACCTGAGCTCTTCGCCACTGAGCTTTTAACAGCATCTGGCGGCTGAATTAACTTACCCCATGGGGCGCACCAAGCGACATGAACATACGCAGACCCCCAGGGCGGCACCCCCATCTTCTCAGTCGGACCCAATGGACGACTTCCTCCAAAGCCCGCTTGGGCATAACCACGAGGTGCACGGCTCCAAGATGGCGCCTGTGTCTCCTGCTGCTTCCAATAGCTCGGAACACGAGCAGCCCACGAGCAGAAATCAGAAGGTTGGCGGTGAAGATGGTCACTAAATCAGACCTCGAATCGCTAGCAAACTTAAAAGTTAGTGAGGCGAACATAGAGTCTGTTTGGGCTATGTTAGAATTTGGTAATCACACAGTAACTCATGTAGGTGTGATTTATAAGCCCCCAGGACAAATTGAAGAGTTAGATAATCTACTAGTTGAGGAAATAGCTAAAATGACAATGAAGGGGTTATTTTAACCCCTTAAGGACGGAGCCAAATGTACACGTTGTGAACGAAACAAAATGCAAACAAAACCTGGCATTTGCGCTACATGTCTGTCCAACCGTAATTCACCTCTTTCATATTAAATGCACCCACCCTTATTATATATCATTTTATTCAGGGGAAACAGGGCTTTCATTTAATATCAAATATTTAGCTATGAAACATAATTTAATATGAAAAAAATGGGAGAAAATAAGATTGTTTTTATTTTTTTAGTTCTACATGACATTTTAACTGTCCATGTCATAATACTGTTTGCTTTTACTGCAATTAAATACACATATTTGTATTCAGTGATGTCTCACATGTAAAACAGTACCCCCTATGTATAGGTTTTATAGCGTTTTGGGAAGTTACAGGGTCAAATATAGCACGTTACATTTGAAATTAAAATTTGCCAGATTAGTTACGTTGCCTTTGGGACTTTATAGTAGCCCAGGAATGAAATTTACACTCATAATGGCATACCATTTGCAATAGTAGACAACCCAAGGTATTGCAAATGGGTTATGTCCAGTCTTTTTTAGTAGCCATTTGGTCACAAACACTGGCCAAAGTTAGCGTTAGTATTTGTTTGTGTGTGAAAAATGCAAGAAACGCCAATTTTGGCCAGTGTTTGTGACTAAATGGCTACTAAAAAAGAAGACTGGACATACCCCGTTTGCAATACTTTGGGTTGTCTACTATTGCAAATGGTTTGCCATCATAGGGGTAGTTTTCATTCTTGGGCTACCATAGGATCTCAAAGGCAACGTACCCAATCTGGCGAATTTTAATGTGAAAAAAATTAAACACACGTCTTATATTTGACGCTGTAACTTTTGAAAACACCATAAAACCTGTACATGAGGGGTACTGTTGTACTCGGGAGACTTCGCTGAACACAAATATTTGTGTTTCAAAACAGTAAAAAGTATCGCAGGAATAATATTGTCCGTGTAAGTGCTGTTTGTGCGTGAAAAATGCAAAAAACGTCACTTTTACTAGCGATATCATCGTTGTAATACATTTTACTGTTTTGAAACACTAATATTTGTGTTCAGCGTAGTCCCCCGAGTAGAACAGTACCCCTCATGTACAGGTTTTATGGTATCTTGGAAAGTTATAGGGTTAAATATAGTGCTAGCAAATTAAATTCCCTTTACTTTCGGCATGGGTTGTCAGGCAGGTCCCGCTAATTGTAATTAATTAAGATACCCAATTATCTAAAATGATTACATAAATATATATGTAGAATTAATATATGTGTATATATATATATATATATATATATATATATATATATATATACATACACACACACGTATGTGAATATATATGTGTATATATAAATATATATATAATTTTTGAAAAACATTTTTATTTTATATAGGTATATATATATAGTGATATATACGTATATATTTATGTATATAGATATATATATTATTTCGTTCTACGTGTATTTAGATATAAATATATATATATTAATATCACAATACAGTTAGAACGAAATAACACAAATCTATACATTTTTTAATTATTTAAAAAAAAAATTATTTAATTTTTTAACGTATTTACATATTTAATTTTTTTATATTATATATAAATATATATATAACAATAATTATATATATATTTAATCAGTATCAGTTTACGTGTAATTTGATATTAATATATATACACCTAGACAGTGTACGTATGTGTATGTATATGTGTATATATATACTTAGATCATATATTTTACACTTTTAACTTTTATTTATTTTATTTCCAGCCAGCAAGGGGACAACCTGTCATTACAGGCAGCCCCCCTGCTGGCAATGCTGCAGCCAGCTATCCCGGCCATGTGATTGTGAGGTCCTTGCAAGGACCTCACTCTCACATGGCCGGAGGGGCTTCCAGGGGGTCGGACGTGCCGCGGGGGGCTCCCTGGGAGTCCCCCCAACTGCGATCGCCGGCGACCGGATAAGTAATGAAAGACCAGAGGGCATACTATTATGCCCGGCGGCGTTTAGAGCCACCTAAACTAGGGCATAATAGTAGGCCTTCCGGTCTTAAGGGGTTAATCTTCTTCATGTAAATTGGAAAACAAAAATAGCTACTTGTGCCAGAAGCACACATATTCTAAACTCCCTACTGGGATTGTCTCTAAAACAAGTTTTTGAGGAGTCAACTCGAAAAGAGGCCATACTAAATTTAGTGTTAACAAATGGAGATTTGGTATCAGATATTACTGTAGGTGATCCAGTGATCATCAGTCAGTGTGGTTTAATATAAGAACAGTGACTGAGTCACACCACACAAAAACAAAAGTTTTAGACTTTAGAAAAACAGACATTTCTAAAATTAGAATATGTGTAGAGGAGTCATTATCAGACTGGAGCAATTTAAATGGAGTCCAAGAGAAATGGGATTATTTAAAAATTGCACTATTGAAGGCAACAGAAAATTGCATTAGGCTTGTCAGTAAAAGCAAAAAATTCAAGAAACCACTGTGGTACTCCGCAGATGTGGCCAAAATAGTTAAAAACAAAAAGTTAGCATTTATTATTTATAAAAAAAACCCAGAGTGAGGAAGACAAAATGATCTATAAGATTAGGCAGAAAGAGGCTAAGCAAGTTATAAGAGTTTCCAAATTACACACAGAAGAGAAAATAGCACAGTCAGTAAAAAAGGGGACAAAACTTTTTTTAGATACATAAATGAGAAAAGAAAAGTAAAACAAGGATTAGTTAGATTAAAACCAAAAGAAGGAAGGTATGTAGAAGAGGATAAAGGTCTAGCTGACTGCCTCAATTAATATTTTTGTTCTGTATTTACAGATGAAAATGAAGAAAAGGGACCTAAGTTAAGAAAAAGGATAAATTAGTAATTTATTACACGTGAGTTTACAGAGGAAGAGGTTCTATTTCAACTGTCAAATGTAAAGACAAATAAGTCAATGGGACCTGATGGAATACACCCAAAGCTATTAAAAGAGCTTAGTGGTGTACTAGCAAAACCATTAACAGATTTATTTAACCAATCATTGTTAACAGGAGTAGTTCCAGAAGATTGGAAGTTAGCGAATGTTGTGCCCATTTACAAGAAAGGTAATAGGGAGGAGTCAGGCAACTATTGGCCAGTAAGCCTTATTTCAGTAGTGGGGAAAGTGATGGAAACCATGTTAAAGGATAGGATTGTTGAACATCTAAAAACACATGGATTTCAAGATCAGAGACAACATGGGTTTACTTCAGGGAGATCATGCCAAACTAATCTTATTGATTTTTTTGATTGGGTAACTAAAATTATAGATCAGGGTGGTGCAGTAGACATTGCTTACCTAGATTTCAGTAAGGCGTTTGACACTGTTGCACATAGAAGGCTTATCAATAAACTGCAATCTTTAAGTTTGGATTCAAATATTGTTGAATGGGTAAGGCAGTGGCTGAGTGACAGGCAACAGAGGGTTGTAGTTAATGGAATATATTTGAAGCTTGGACTTGTCACCAGTGGGGTACCTCAGGGATCTGTACATGGACCCATTCTCTTTAACATTTTTATTAGTGATATTGCAGAAGTTCTTGATGGTAAGGTATGTCTTTTTGCCGATGATACTAAGATATGTAACAGGGTTGATGTTCCAGGAGGGATAAGCCAAATGGCAAATGATTTAGGTAAACTAGAAAAATGGTCAGAATTGTGGCAACTGACATTTAATGTGGATAAGTGCAAGATAATGCATCTTGGACGTAAAAACCCAACGGCAGAGTACAGAATATTTGAGAGGGTCCTAAGCTCAACATATGAGGAAAGGGATTTAGGGGTGATTATTTCTGATGACTTAAAGGTAAGCAGACAATGTAATAGAGCAGCAAGAAATGCTAGCAGAATGCTTGGTTGTATAGCGAGAGGTATTAGCAGTTGAAAGAGGGAAGTGCTCATGCCATTGTACAGAACACTGGTGAGACCTCAATTGGAGTATTGTACACAGTACTGGAGACCGTATCTTCAGAAGGATATTGATACCTTAGAGAGGGTTCAGAGAATGGCTACTAAACTGGTGCATGGATTGCAGGATAAAACTTACCAGGAAAGGTTAAAGGATCTTAACATGTATAGCTTGGAATAAAAGACGAGACGGGGGGATATGATAGAAACATTTAAATACATAAAGGAAATCAACACAGTAAAGGAGGAGACTATATTTAAAAGAAGAAAAACTACCACAACAAGAGGACATAGTCTTAAATTAGAGGGACAAAGGTTTAAAAATAATATCAGGAAGTATTACTTTACTGAGAGGGTAGTGGATGCGTGGAATAGCCTTCCAGCTGAAGTGGTAGAGGTTAACACAGTAAAGGAGTTTAAGCATGCGTGGGATAGGCATGAGGCTATCCTAACTATAAGATAAGGCCAGGGACTAATAAAAGTATTTAGAAAATTGGGCAGACTACATGGGCCGAATGGTTCTTGCTGCCGTCACATTCTATGTTTCTATGTTTCTCGGGGAAGATGTCCCAACAGAAATCCGCTTTGAGCGGGCACACAGGCCTTATGACCACAGCTCAGAGAGGGAGACCCATGAGATACAATTTGCTGTCTCCACTCTTTCCACTCTTTCTCTAAGAATACATAATGGGGCAAGCCAGAATGCGAGCCACGTGGAGATATCAGGGTTCTGAAGTCTCACTGTACCAAGACATCTCCTCGGTTACTCTCAAAGCGAGAAAGGCTCTGAGGCCTATGACGTCAACACTAAGAGAAAGAAGGATCCCATACAAATGGGGCTTTCCATTTAGCATACAAGTCCG